GTGTGTGTGTGTGTGTGTGTGTGTGTGTGTGTGTGTGTGTGTGTGTGCATATAAATGTACCCATGTGTGTTTATTAATTAAAACCAGTTGTTAGATATATATTGTGACGACAGCCATTAAACATTTTTTAGCAAATTTTTTCATATTTTTCCCTGCATATAATGCAGCTACTTCATCATTTATCTTTTATTTGGATAAAAAATTATACTTGATTCAAGATTTAATAATATTTAAATGAAACTCTGATTTCTGTTTTTATTTATAATACTTAATGTTATAAAACAATAGTAAACTAATGAAAGTAACATAAGTACATTTTAATTTTTGTAAACGATATGATAAATAACATTTGATGACACTTATTTTTCTAGAAATATATTTTTCTTATATATTTAATATTATTATTTTAACAAATTGTTATCATATCTTATTCGTATATTACATAATATATAGCTGTAATTATTATGTAAAAATATACATGATTACTATAAAGAGATTTTTAAAAATAATTAAGAATATTCAATATTTTAAGATTTGAAATATTGATCGATGATAATTTTTTTTTTTTGTATTTATTAAATACATATCATCTAAAATATTTAAATTGTTTTATTTTAATGTTTCTCTTTCGGTTTCATTTTTAAAACCTATGTATCATCAGTTCTCTGTTTATATGCCATGAACATAATATAAATTATATATTTGAATAAAAATCAAATAAATAAATAGACCAATCCGTAGATGTCTTAATATATTGTTATACTTTATCACAATAACTACCTATGATGTTCTTATATTCAGATATTTTTTTATTTTAAAAATAATTATGTTTTGCTTCTTATTTTCAGAACGTTTAGGCAAACTAATAGAAGAAGAGTTTCAACAGAAAATTTTAGAATGGCAATTAAAAGAACAGCAAAAAAAACAACTAAAGGAGAAACAACAGAAACAACAAAAAACCCCAGAAAAGAAACCGGCAGGTACGTGTAATTATATAAGCTATGCGTTCAGTTATAAGTTTCTCAGTTTATATTGATTTTCATAACTCAATATAATCTATACGTATATCCCATGTTTGTTGTTAACTATATATTAATTTAAATCAACACAAATTAAGAATGTGCATTTTATTTTCAATAGACGCATTATTCTAAAAATCGTCCAGTGTGATTTTTTCATTTAATTTAATATGGTTATCATTGATTACTTTGAACTCAATGAAATCGGTAGCATTACTTATTATTCATAGTGTTTGATTAGTAAATATTAGTGAATAAAGCATTAATAAAAACTATTTATAATTTTATAGAAGTATAAATGTATATAAAAAGATTGATCATTTATTTGGTTCACAAATTCATAATTTTATTTGCCACACTATAGGATTCATATAATTTGTATAGCTTGTTCGAATGTCGAATTTTAATTTACTTTTGTACATGACACTTTTAATATGAACTTGGTGTATTTATATATTTTTATATTAAAATAAGTTATGTAGATTGACTTTAGATATTGGAATCATAAAGCTGTATAACATTATAGACATATCATAATCGTACCTATATTTACTTCATAATATTTAATGAGTATCGACTATAATCAATATTGTGATGATAAAAATACTTACCGAATACTAAAGACCAATTAAATGTGGCTCATGTAACAATTTTTTTGTTTCCACTATTATTATTAGCTTCATTATTTTTTTTTAACTTATTTATTGTGTCCATGGTCTGAACAGCGTTTGGTTTTTCAGGAATACTTTTTCCACGATAAATTATTAATGTAGAAAAACGCGCGTGTTTAGAGTGAGTACACAATGTATACATATACACATTATTGGTGTATAGCTAGGTGTATACCTATATTTATTTCAAGTAAATATTTACACGGGTATTTGCTGTGTACGATTTATCCGGAAACTTCGTTGTTAGCTTTGGGCAAATGATGGTGAAAAATAACGAGCATAGCACCGCGATGACCGTCAAAAAGAGAGAAAAAAAGGGCGTATCCAAGGCAACGGATGTGGAAAGGCGTTGCTATTATCACACTGGCTGCCGTTCCGCCGAGCTCCGTCGCCGATTTCCATGGCAACTGGACTTAGGACACCTTCAGACAATGGTGTCAGCAAGCCTTACAACTTTACACACATTTCACTTGTTGTATGTACATGTAATACGCGGGCGCGTGTGCGTGTATTTGAGGTGTAGTATGTGTGGGCTCGCGCGTGTCTGTGTCTGTGCAAACGCATGTACACGTGCGTGCGTGTGTTGAAAAGCGCCTGAGGATACCATCGGGGTTGAAAACTTGTTAAATTATACGGCTGCATGCTGCAAATCTCTTTTGTCCTTTCAGCGCGCGCGTAACTACTCATTTCGAAAAAAGCGCCTTGTGTTGAGCTTAATATCACTGGGGTAAAGAACATAGTATATATATATTACGTATACAATGCAAATGACGTGTTCAAATATGAAAAAACATATATATATATATATTACAAAAATTATATATTATACAAATATTATATTATTATACATGCATAGAAGCGACAGTTAAGTGTATAACCTATTGATTCTATAATTTTGTATTATATATCTATACACAAATTTTAGACTAGAAAATATTATTTTCTATATACATACATGTGCTCGTATTTATATTTTTATATCATGAAATTAATGCTTCAAATTGAAAAGCTATATCTCTAGTGAAGTATGATGAATACACTTTCTAATCAAAATTAAAATGATTACTTTGAACAAAAAATAAAAATAAATATATGGTTACTATTATTATTCTTACTATTATAAAATACGAGTAGCTTAATCACCCGAACTAACCAGGTAAATATTTTGCTATTTTAATTTAAAAAAAAATATATTATTTGATTTAAAAAAAAATTAAGCAGAAAAAGCACATAATTGTCATTTATTATAGTATAATAATATTTAGTTTTATTTATTTATATTACTTCGTATACTAGCTGAATTATCCGGGTTCGTACGACATAATGTTATCCGGGACATACTTTTTAAATATTACTTTACATTACCTATTTAAAGCCTTGTATGGTTTAACTGTTAGTTACAAAACAAACGATTCAAATGAATCGGTATGGGGTAGTTTTGGTTGTAAGTTGAATCGCCCGGTTTTGCATCATGAAACCGTCTTTGCCAATGTCAATATGTTTTTAAAATCCCTTCTTATTGCACGTCTAAAGTATTAGAGAAACTTTATATGAAATTTTAAGTTTATAAATTTTGTCATTTTTGAGATGTAACATAAATATCCTTTTTTGTGTTGTCTTTACATTATTAAACAAGACTTCTCACAAAGTTTCATAGTGATAGTTTTAGAATTTTCGATTAAACGAATTTTCGTATATTTACCATTGTGTTTTATTTTTTTTACCTTTTTTCACCCCCTTAGAGGTTGAATTATGAAAAATCCTTGCACATCTGGAGTGTTAGTGGAACCACTTTGTCAAATTTGAAGTTTATACGATCTGTTGCTTTGGAGATATAACAATGTTCAATAAGTGAGTGGGTGGTATTCGGTTTACATACATACATATATATATTAACAAGTAAACTGTATAAGCCCAATAATATGTAAACTATAACTATACACTCACCAAGTAAATAGGAAATTTTACCCACAATTTTTTTTTTAAAAATGTAGTTTCATCGCCCTTAAGGGATGAATATATTAAATAAAACGCATTAGATTTGAATTTTAAAAAAAATCCTATCTTAATGCTTGTCTATATTGTTAGAGGAACCTCTGTGCAATATTTCAAAACTCTAGACCTAGCGGTTTAGGCTATGCATTGCTGCATCAATCATTTTATCCTTTTATTTATATACCTATACAATTAATTTACTTATACGATGTACATAAATTAATCAGTTACTATTAAAATGAACATATTAAACAAAATAAAACGAGTCCTTAGTAACTATATATTCCGCTCAGTGCCTAAAACTGTTTTTTTGAATATTAAAATTGTGATTTCGAAAAAAATATTTTATATTTCACCTACACACAGTAGTAAGTAGTAAGTAAATTCTCTCAAAATTTCAAATGAATAGATATTGTAGTTTTGGCTTTATTTTTATTAAAGAGTGAGTAATATTTGAGTTATATATAGATATAGATTATTATTCATTCATAATTTTATTATTGCTATATATATATTGCTTAAACCAAAAATATTAACTACTTGACAATTATATTGTAAAAATACCGTTATTAAAATGTATTTATATTACATAACAATAGGTATATTATTAAAAGTTTTAATTTTTTCTACAGGTTTTCGATATCCTTAATTTTTTTAAGTAAATTACTCAATAGTATGATATAATTAATAATAAATAACATTAATGGATTTAAATTAGTAATTTTAAAATAATAATAATTTCACAAATATTCATTATTTATCCTTGAAAATTATTACATTTTAATTACATTCACTGTATAATATCTAATATTTTATGTATCATAAATTATATAAAAAAATAAAGCAATATTAGTCTCAAAATGTTTACTTAAATTATTTTAATAAACCATTGATGATGTGCCGACTATTTTTTTTTACCCGCCATTAACTATTTCTATTGTACCTTAATAGCGTGCGTAATTTCTTTTGTTTTTTTTTTACGTTTCGGCGGCACTCGTGACTTTGCATTTCAAAACCCCGCAAACAAAATCAAGTTAATCGGCTTCCTTAGAATATGCAAAATCCTTTTCATTTCTTTGAGAGCGAAAACAAAAGAGAGTCGACAACTTTTTTTACAAAACACCTTGTACCAGTTGTATTCCTGGCGTCGTAGCATCGGTCGCGGTTTCTTTTGACGAAATAAATGAGATACGATTACGTTCATGTTCACATGCAGCATATCGTTTCTCCATTATCCTTTCCTTTAGACGTTGGCTGATCTTTAACAATAGAATTACGGAGTAGACGGTCAAATGCTCCCGAACTCAAATTAATGTAACAATAAAATTCACTAGGATTTCTGAGTTTATTTCGCAGAGGGTTGGTTCTCTAAAACTGATGCTTGTATAGCCATTCATATTTATTCATTCATGTTCATATTTGATCATATTAGCGTTTTAAGCTGAATAAAAAAAGGTAACTATTAAACGATTATATTTTTCAACTCGATAAAGCACCCATTATAATTTCTAAAATACAATAGAAATAATTTCTGGATTTTGACTGTATAAACTGTTTACTATTAAAAACAAAGTATACTGTCGTTTTTTTAATATAATACATTCATAATCTAGTTAGATGTAAATATTAGTAACTATTATGTTTTATTTACTATTTAACTGTTGGACTTGAACACAATCAGTTAAACTTTTCTCATAATTTCTATTATCTTTTCTGTAGTATTGAATAGTTAATTTATTAATTTTCTATGACACACACAACATAGGAACTTAGACATTTTCTATTTCCAAAAAGCCGATTGATCATTTTATGTGATAAAGATTTTAAAAACTAATTTGAATTTGTACATTTTAGATCAATTTTTTTCACTTTTTTAATTTTTTTTCCTAACATTTTATAATATGTAATGTATAAAATTTAGACAAAGGCAATAAAGTCAATCTAAAATAGATTTTACGACGAATTTGAATCCATTTCCAAGTATAAACTATTCGCAAAGTATTTTATTCTTTGTACGAAACATTCCAAAATAAATTTTGATTTTTTTGTAATACTTAATCACCAATGTGTTAAAAATCGATTACAATAAAATTTCGTTGGCTAAAATTTACCCGAAAAGCTCTTTAAATTAAATTCAGAATTTTTTTTTCGCCGTTAAAATTAATTAGTAAGTAATTAATATATATATAAACTAAAAATAGATATGTACACTATTTACATAAATCAAATCGCCTCAATACATTTTCATACTATATGTTACGTCAATGATATAGTGTAGACCAGGTATTATTTGGT